TGAATATTAATAGTTGACTGCAAATAAAAAATGATCTATAATGACCTAATATGAAAAAAATAAATGGTTAGATCATTGCATTTTAATTAAAAATTGATAGAAACTAAAATTTGACGGAAATATTTCAACAATAATATTCTACATCATAGATAATAAAGGCATATTTTAAACAATAATAAAGTTAAATTAAAAATGCAACGGAAATATTTCAATAATAATATTATACATAATCAATTAAAACTCGAACGAAAATTAGGAAAAAGTTATAATTGCATATGATATTCTAATTGACTAATTGATTAAAACTAAAAAAGAATAATTGACTGAAAATGAATATGATATTACAAACTTACTTAAAATATAAAAAAAATCCCTAATTGACTAATATTCTACAATTATATATTTTCACTCGAGTCACCCATCATGATAGACTGAAGGTGTTAGCTATAGACGATGATGGACAAGATTGTGTTGCTACTACCAATGTCGAAAGATGTTTCAATAATGTGTACATACAATCGTTGATATTTTTTTAAATGACAAATTTGCTATATATCTAGACAAAAAAATATATATCTTCCATACAAATGAATTAAGATAATAATTCATTCCTATAATTGAGTTGCTTGAGAATGAGCACATTTGACTAATTTATATAAAAAAAAAAATCCTAAACAATGATAAATAAAATCTCCAAAATTACAGCACCGCATGCGTACATCTACACATTAGCTATTAATTTGAGCAATTATTTGCTCAAATTTAAGCAATGATAACATCAAAACACATAGATAATCCAAACCATATGTTCAATTGCACTATATAATATTTGATGTTCTAATTTAAATAATTATATATTGATCCAAATATTCTTAATATATTACAACAAATTCATTCTGTGCATCGAACGGGTGAAAATACTATTATTCTAATAATTTTTCTTTCTTTCTTTGGTGTAATTACTATGCTAATGTATTTAAATATTGAAAGAGAATTCTATAAAAAGGATCCTTAACTCACTAAAATTCTATATTATTCTTAAAAACTAAACCCCCATTTCTTACTTACCCGCCCAAACAATAAAAAAAAAAATTACCAATTAATGATACTAATAATAATTAGTAAAAAAGTTAGTAGTAAAATAGAAAAAAAGATCCTTAATTCACAAAAAATAGAAAAGGAAACGGGATTCACTAATTAATTAAAACTAACAATAATCAGTAAAAAAAAAGATCCTTAATTCACTAAAAATGATAATATAAACGGAATTTACTGATTATGACTAATAATAATTGGTAAAAAAAAAAAAAAAGAGTCTTAATTCAATGAAAATGGAAAAAAGAAACGTAAGGGTGTGAAAAAAGAAAGAAGTCATAATAAGGATAACAGTAAAAAAAAGAAAATTCTACCAAAAATTAGAATAATAAAAAAAGTTTCTTAATTCACGAGAAATAGAAAAGGAAATGAAATTCACTGATTAATTAATAGTAATAATAATCAGTCAGAAAATAAGCAGTAAAATATGAAGAAAAAAAAAGATCATTACTTCACTAAAAATGGAAAAATAAACGAAATTTACTGATTAATACTAATAATAATCAGTAAAATTGAAAATAAAAAAGGATTCTTAATTCAATGAAAATGAAAGATTTTTTTTTTTTAAAAGGGGTCATAATAAAAACAACAGTAAAAATAATCCTACAAAAAAAATTGAAAAAAAAAGATTCATAATTTACGAAAAATAGAAAATGAAATGGAATTCACTGAATAATTAATACTAATAATAATCAGTAAAATTAAAAGTTAACATTAAAATAAAAAAATATAAAAGGATCCTTAATTCACTAAAAATAGAAAAAGAAACGAAAGTCACTGATTAATACTATAATAATAAGTTAAATAGGTAAATATAAAAAGATTCTCAATCTATACCATTATTAAAAAGAAAATCCTTCTTCCTTACTTTCACACCCAAACAATAGAAAAAGAAAAAAAATCTATAATATAATTAAAAACAAAATTCTATTTACTTGATTTATCGCCCAAACAATAGTAAATAGTAAAGGTAAATTAAAAAAAAATGATGAAAAAAAAAGAACAAAAATATTTCACAATAATATTCTATATTATCAATTAAAAATGGAATGAAAATTAGGTAAATAAATAAGTATCTGTTCAAACATGTTTTCTCAACCAACACCTTCACTAAGGCTCAATCTCATGACTTCCCACATAAGAGAGGTCACTACATGCCATCTAAGCACAAGGTGCTTGGCAACAAACATTAGATTAATTGAAAAAGGAAATGAATATTAACAATTGTTTGAAAATAAGAAAAGATTCATAATTGACTAAAATAGAAAAAAAAAATGGTCAGATCATTACATTTTAATTTTTCACAATAATATTACACAGTATAATACATCAAATCACAAGTATGTCATAAATTTTACACAATTTTAAACAATAGAATGGAAATATTTCAATAATAATATTCTACACTATCAAGTAAAGGTAAATTAAAAATAAAAAGGAAATACTTCAATAATAATATTCTACATCATCAATACTAAAGACATATTTTAAACAATAGTAAAGGTAAATTAAAAATGTAGCGAAAATTAAAAATGAAATGGAAATATTTCAATAATAATATTCTAAATCATCAATTAAAAATGAAACGAAAATTTGATAAAAATATCATTGCATTTGATATTTTAGTTCGCTAATTGATTAATTGACTAAAAATAAAAGAGAAGTAATTGGATGAAAATAAATATGATATTACTAATGGATTGAAAATTTAAAAGGAAATGAATATTAATAATTGACTGCAAATAAAAAATTATTCATAATTGACTAATATGAAAAAAATAAATGGTTAGACCATTGCATTTTAATTAAAATGGAAGGGAAACTAAAATTGAACGCCAATATTTCAATAATAATATTCTACATCATAAATAGTAAATGCATATTTTAAACAATAGTAAAGGTAAATTACAAATGGAATAGAAATATTTCAATAATAATATTATACATCCTCAATTAAAAATGGAACACAAATTAGGTAAAAATATCACTCCATGTAATATTCTAATTGACTAAAAATATAAAAGAATAATTGACTGAAAATGAATATGATATTACTAATTTATTTAAAATATAAAAGGATCGCTAATTGACTAATATTATACCATTATATATTTTCACCGAGTCACCCATCCTGATCAATTGAAGGTGTTAGCTCTAGACGATGATGGACAAGATTGTGTTGCTACTACCAATGTCGTCTACAAAGAGGTTTCAACAATGTGTAAATAAAATCGTTGATATTATATTTTTTAAATGACAAAATTACTATATGTATAGACAAAAAAAATATCCTCCATACAAATGAATTAAGATAACAATTCATTCATATAACTGAGTTGTTAGAAAACAAACGCATTTGTATAATTTATAAAAAAAAAATACTAAACAATGATAAAAAAATCTCCAAAGTTATAACACTACATGCATACATCTACACATTAGCTATTAATTTGAGCAATTATTTGCTTAAATTCATACAATGATAATATAAAAACACATAAATGATCCAACCCGTATATTCAATTGAACTATATAATATTTGATGTTCTAATTTAAATAATTATATATCGATTCAAATATTCTTAATATATTACAACAAATCTATTCCGTGCATCGCACGGGCGCAAATACTAGTTTTTGACTAAAACCATCTCCAAAGAAGATGACAAATCAAATTTTAGGCAACAAATTTGACACAATTAGCCTCCAATGAACATGGCAAAATGGCAGATTTTTTAACGTGGATGAATAATACTGCGCCACGGCAATGGCAAATTTTGGCACAATGCTATTCATCAATGGCAAAAAATTCAGATTTTTTCTTTGTTTTGCCATTGTTATTTTTTATTAATACCTTTTGTATTCTTTTTGTTTAGGATTATATTTACATATTTTTTTTAAAAAAATACTTAGACATAAATTGTATATTATTAAAAATAAATTATATCATTTGAAAGATCATATCAAAATTATTAAAAAAATTAATATTAAATATAAATTAAATAAAAACGTAATGGATGTCATATGATGTATTATTGTGGAATAAAATATTATTTACCTTCTAATAATATTTTACATTAAAATAATTAAAGTATTAATATAAAGATTTGATTTTTGAGAATACAAATTATTTTAGTGAAGGAATAAAAATTGTTGTAAATGGGTTGGAGATAGAAAAAATTGATGTAAAAATATGCTTGAGAATATTCATTTTAGTAAAAAATTTGGTGTTTTGGATTGGAGATGACCTAAGCTACAGTGCAGAGTTTATGGGACCTAGGTTCCTAACAAGTTATACGAGGGTTATTGAAATATTTTTAGAATTAAATAACCTTGAAATAGGAGGTTGGGAAATTGAAAATAATATTGTCAAGTGGTTTCAATACAAGAATGATAATAATATATGAATTTTCTACTTTATCCCTCAAATAATATAAAATTTTTGAATTTTTCGTCAAGTTGATACGGAAACCTAACATTGGAAACCAAATTCATCACTTCGCTCATAATTAAAGGATAAAAAAAAATACAATCATAATTAAGGGAATTGAGTCGAAACTTGAGTATAACTTAAGCATCAAATATGCAAATTTTCTCTTTATTTTTTAAAAATGTATCTTTAACAAGTTAAGTACACAATTCTACTATACACACACTAGGTTACGTATGATATTGTAAAATTTAATTCATTAATATTAATATTTAAAAAAAAAAAAGCAAGGAAGGTGGAGGGAATCAAGAAAATGCCCCATTTCTTATGATTTCTCAATAAAATTTTGTGGGTACCCAAAAAAAAAAAAAAAAAAAAAGGAAGAAAAAGGAAAGAAATTTATAGTGAAGAAAAAGCGGAGAATAAAAGAGACCGGATGTTGACAAATTAAATGTCACTGTTCTTAGAAGAAGGTCGTTTGTTTGTGTGAAAGATTTCTTATCTGGGATCTCTCTCTCTACAAAAATTAAAAATTTATGCTACGCACTTTAGGGAGAGAAAGAACTTAGTTTTAGACAGAGAGAGGGAGATAGAGAGAGAGAGAGAGAGAGAACGGGGGGCTGGCCCCAGCAGATCGAAATCTTCAATCTTTTGTTCAGTCTCATGAGGATCTGTGCTTCTTCAATGGTGTTGCCAAACCCCCAACTTTAGTTTTCCCTTTTTATTTATTCCTGAATTGTTGGTTTTTTTTTTTTTTTTTGGTTTAATCTGTTTATATTTTAATTTCTTTCTTTCTAATTGTTTGGCTTCCTGGGCTTTGAATATCCATAATTTTGAGCTGCTTTAATTCTTGAAGCTTTGTCTAATGATTCAATCCATCAAAGGGTCATGAGAAGAGGTGATTCCAGGATGTGGGTCTGAGGTAAAAGTATCTTAGACATGATGATTATTGGGTTCTTTGGAATTCTTGTTTTTGTTTTAGATGATTGATTTTAATTAGTAATTTTTGTTGTTACCTTGCTGTAATTGTGCTTGAATTGTGTTTTTGGGCTCTCCATTTAATGGTTTGGTGGTTAATCTGGATAATTGGGATTGCACATTTCCTGTATCATACTGTAGTTTACTTATTTGTGAAAATATACTGACAGATTCGATTAGTTATCTTTGGCATCTTATTTGCTAGTGGACATAAATGCTTCCCATAGTTTTTGTGAAGTTAAAAGATTGCGACTTTTCGAAGCTTATGAAGTGTGTATTGTGTATTTGTGTATTTGTGTTAAAAGTGTTTCGTCTTGTGACTGTAGTAAAGAAAAAGGTGAAGTGTTTATTCTTCTGATTGGAGTGAGAACTCGGAATTTATCTATTGAGATTAGTTGCTTATTTTTGGCTGAGGTGTTGATGCTTTTCTGAGCTCTATTTTATTGTTTTAACTGGTTTTTGTTTCAATTTCGTTAAAGAAGCGATTAAATTGCGTAGTTGAATGAGAAATTTGTGTTATTTCCTTTGGTTAACTGGTTGGTTTGGTTTGTGACATGCTAGTTCCTATGAAGCGTTAAAAACAAACAAAAGATGCCACTATGAATTGTGGACTGCATTTTCCAACAACGATTTTTTTTTTTTAATTTATATTTTTGTTTGTAGCTTGTAATTGTACATTCTGAAATGGGAATGTTTTGAATATATATACGTTGCAATCTTCAATTGTGTATCGTTTCCTTTTTCTCCAATTGGTGAATATCCTGATGTTCTAATCGATGCCAAGTATGTTTGAATCAGACCTTTGTACTTTTCCCCGCTTGTTTGTGAATTATGTTTGCAATTGTTGGCTGATTGTTCGTTAATTTTCGTTGGCGTTTCCCATAATGACCAGGAGTGTTCTTCCTTCTGTCGAAATACTTAATTTAGTAATCAAGAATAAGCCATCTATTCTAGTTTAATTTTCATTGGTTTGTGCAGGAATGGGAACCCAAGTGCACGAGAAAGGCGTCTTGCCGGGTTATTACTCCATGAGGGACCTTAATGAGGATTCTACTAGTAGTAATTGGCCCCTGTTTTATGGAGATAGGGCCGTAGCAAATGGGCAATATTGTAATGGTTTCACGTCGAGGAGCGTTGTGGATGCCTGTTCAGGATACAACAAGGATGCAGTAAAACAGAAAATGCTCGAACACGAGGCAATATTCAAGAATCAGGTACACCTGTTTTAGGTTATATGCTTTGTTTTCTATTTATTTTTTTGGTCAGACCACGAGGTGTCTTGAGCAAACCCTAACTGTAGGAGGCACCTTTAATAAACCCATACCATACTCAGACTAATCCCCGTTCGCACCGGGCTGGCCCAACTAAGGAGCAAAGTGCTGGCCAGATTAGTTTTTCTATACAAGAGGGGATTTGAACTCCCAACCTCTCTTAAGGGACAAGAGTGCATGACCACTCATGCCAACCAAGCTGGTTTGTTTTATGTTTATTTGGGATTCTTTTTTTTTTTTTTTTTTTTTTTTTTTTTTGGGTGACGGAAGGAAACCCGCAGCCACTACCTGAGGGTGTGCATTGGGTAAATCTCGCCTTGTGACCCTAGCCGGCATAGGATCACAAGGAGGTAGACCAGCCTAGGTTGCCCATAGCTGACCGGTTCAAACCAAAAAGACCAATAGGCCGCTCCTACTAGGAGTTGAAATTGGAACCGTGTGGTCACCAAGCCAACAACTTGACCAACTTGGCTGGGGTTGCCCGCATTTGGGTTGTTTTTATCACTATTATTGGTTGCCGATTGGCAATTTCTTTTTCAAAGCCCTTTGCGTGTGCCGAAGCCCGAAGGGCTTGTATTGCTAGTTCTTAATTGTTTGAGACGTTTTCTCTTAGGTTTCGGAACTCCACCGCCTTTACAGAATCCAGAGGGACATGATGGAAGAAGTTAAAAAGAAAGAACTAAATAAAAACCGGATGTCATTGGAGCCATCGTCTTCGTCTAGCATTCTAGGATCTCAAGTGCCCTACGAAGATGTTCAGAAATGGCACGTTACCGGCTTTCCTTTGACGAATTCTGGTTACGCTAGACCGTGTACTTCTAGTACCGAAATGGGTAATTCTCTGTTAAGCTGTACACAGGGAAGCGATGTACAGTCCGGTCGAGTTCAATTGCAAAATGGATGTTCCTCGAAAAACTGTGAAGCAGCATTCGAGGCTAGGCCATCGAAAGTGCGGAAAAAATTGTTCGATCTTCAATTCTCGGCTGATCAGTACGTCGATACTGAAGAAGGCAAACAGTTGCAAGATTCTAAAGAATCCATCTTCCCGAGCTACCCTGCTAACGGAAACTTTACTATTGCACGAGAGAGTAGCATGAAATCGTTTCTTGGAGGCGGTGGTGAAAGAACTGATTCCCGAAAAGATGCTTCGATGTCACATTTACGTTTAAGAAGTGTAAATGGGTTGGCTGATCTGAACGAACCTCCTCAGCTCGAAGAAGCAACTATTCCACCGCCCGTTGATTTTCTCGGTCATTGTGCTAGCTACAAAGAGGCTGAAACCCGAAATGTTACCGGTAAACCAAATCCCGGCTTTTTAGCTCCACCCGAAATGATGTGGAACACTAACCACGGAACTTCCAATGGCCCCCCGAGTAGTCCATTTATGGAGAGTAAGGGAAAAGAGAGAGACTGGCTCTCCTATAAATATGAAGCAGGTAATACATATCATGTAATGGTTCTACTTGCCTAATTAGCGGGGCTTAAGAAATTGCATACATAGTGGCACTATCAGGTTTGATCCACGACTTTCAAACCTTGCAATCTCAGTCCACGACTACTGTTTTTTTTTTTTTTTTGGAAAAATGGTCCTTCCGGTGAGAAATTGACGGAAAATGGGCCGGAAGGACTATTTTTCCAAAAAAAAAAAAAAAACAATAGTCGTGGACTGAGATTGCAAGGTTTGAAAGTCGTGGATTAATCCTGATAGTGCCACTATAGTCGTGGGACCAAAAGTGCGATAAACTCTTTTCTGTCTTATCCTATCCTATATGACTATTACTCGTGGTGCTTGGTAGTTATAAACGAAATGTTTATTCCCTTTTGCAGGTCGCACTAAAAGCAATGTCGGTCCGTTACCTCAATGTCTTGAACAAAATAAGCTACTTACGCCTTTTCATCCAGTTGAAGCTAGGCTCGGGAAAGCTCATCAAAATCCCGGGATTCATCACGCTCACAGTACTAGGGATGACCTGTGGAGAGCGAGGGCGGGTTGTGGGTTAGAAACCGTTGATAAAAGCCGTGAAAACTCGAATTGTAGCCGTTTGGAACCCGGTGCAACATCTCTGTTGCCCCATCCGCATCGTTTAGGTAATTCCTCCGAGATTTCCAACTCGTGGTCATGTTCCGTCTCCAATTGCGGTGGCAGGCCAACGAGTAGCCCGACTCAGAAGTTAACACCGCTCCATACAAGTGCGTCTTTGAACTCGTCTATAGATTTGAGTAGAAACTCGCACACTTATTCTCACGGCCATGAAACTATCGGAGACAAGTGGCACGCCAATGGGAGCTCTATAGTGAATCCCGGGGGTTTGGGCAGTGAGCTACCTGTCCAGAATGGGTTTTACCATGGATCTTCATCGGGGTTGAGGGAACCATCCGTTCGATTCCCTTCGGTTTTTTTTAACAATCCGAACGATAACAAGGGCTATACTAACCATCAACATGGGAAGTTTCTTGTCGGCTCCAACTTAACAGGTTCTAAGTCGGCAAAGGATTTTGACCTGAATGTTGCGGATGATGTCACCACGAAGCAAGATGAAGAGTTCGTTGATGATAAAAGAAAGCTCGAAGAAGACAGTGTAGCTAAATTTCCATGGCTTAAATTTCAAAAAAACGAGGGGAAAGTTCCAAACTTTGATTCTGAATTCATTCCATCTTCTTCGACTCCATTTTGCAAGGGTGAAATTTCGAAGAATCTCAATGAAATCCTCATCCAAAAATCTGCCTCGATTTTGAGTGATATTGGGGCCAAGGAGGTGTCGGGGACTCAAAATGTCAGGAAAATTCTCGGGGTTCCTATTGAAAATCGTTGTGCTTCCAAAAACGAGTCACCTGTTTCAAATTCCGCAACCATTCCTTCCTTGCTTGAAGGAGAAAATATCAGAAATGACAAGAAGAATATCGTGATCGATATCAATGTGGCTTTTGACGCTTCAATTGCAGAGTCCGAGGATCAAGCTGCCCGAGAACCTACAGGTATCAAAAACCACTTCGATTTGAACTCGTGTATTACCGAGGATGAGGATCCGTTAGGGCCGTGTGTTGTGAGCGATAATGTCAAAGCAAGGACCGTGGAGATAGATTTGGAAGCTCCCGTTGTTTTGGACAACGAGGGAGATAATTTACCCCCCGAGGAAGAGCATAAACGACCCGAGGCATCTTTGCAGTTGCCCGAGCACAAGGTTGAGCAAGAACAAGATGAAGTTGCGAGGATCGCTGCAGAATCAATCGTTGCCATCTCATCGGTTGTAGATGAGACCCGTCTTGATCCTTTGACCGAATCGCTTCGGTGGTTTGTCAATGCTGTCTCTTCGGGCAAGTCGAGCAAAGAAATGGTAAGCAAGAACGGGGCTCCTAACGATAATTCTTCTTCAGAGGGAATAGATTATTTCGAGGCTATGACATTGCAACTAACCGAGACAAAGGAAGAAGACTACATGCCTAAACCATTCGTTCCCGAGATCCAAAACGTGGAAGATAGTGTGGTGACTTCGGTCTCAAATCGAGCCCGAAAGGGTCCAGGAAGGAGGGGAAGGCAGCGAAGGGACTTTCAGAGGGACATCCTTCCCGGTCTGACTTCCTTGTCAAGACACGAAGTGACCGAAGACCTTCAAACGTTCGGAGGATTAATGAGAGCCACCGGTCATCCCTGGACCTCTGGATTGACAAGAAGAAATGGCGGTGGAAGGGGAAGGGGAAGGCGACGGGCTGCCATTATTGACAGTGGGCCCGCCCTCGTTTCAACCCCAACAACCACTTCCTTAATGCATCAACAGAACACTATCGAATCGAGTTTGGAGGACAGAAGCCTAACGGGATGGGGAAAGACAACTAGGCGGCCTCGAAGGCAAAGATTTCCCGCCACGGGTAACCTTTCTGCAATCCCGTTGTCATAAACCATGGGGAAAAGAGGCTGTAATCTATACTCAAATCATTTTATAGAGAGGATATAAAGACAAGACAGACTAGGAAGCTTGTTTTAATGACTTTCTGGTAGTGAGCTGAGGTTGTTAGGTTGGGGATTATCTTTGTACATGTCTTTGTAGTCTATAATTTCTTCAGTGCCTATACCCAGAATTGGTTGGTTACAAATCTCTGTGTATTCAGGAATAATCCTGCCTCATATTTTCTGGATTTATACACCATTTGCTTCAAAATGTGCTGTCTTATTTGGGTGTATTGGTTTTACAAAAGAGTTCCTTGTACACTAGGATTCAGATTCATACAATATATATTCAGGAGTTACCCCACCTTATGTTTTTTCTTCTGAATTTATACAGCATTTTTTGCTTCAAATATGCAGTCTTTGAATATTTTCATCTTACCCAAGTTTTGTTTGTTTGTTTGTTTTTTTTTTTTTTTTTTTGGGGGGGGGGGGGGTGGGGGGTTTAGGGGGGTGGGGGAGGGGTTCAAATAGAGAGGGGGGGGGGGGGGGGGTGGGGATTTGGAAATAACAATCACATGTTTAACATGGACACCTTGCATGGCCAAGGTCAAATAAGAGGACGCCTTCGGGTGAAAAAATTGCATTCAAAGATGTAGGATTAAGTCTTGACAGCTACAATGTGGGAGTCTCACTCACTTGTCGGATGACTCCAATAGCTATATTGTGAAAGTGGACCCTAGTCCAAAACAATAGCGTTTCAGCTGTCGTGATTAATGAGGTGTCATTTCTGAACATTAACAACACGTTTGGTTCACGGAATGAATTTTGAGATAATAGGAATGCTATTCCATAAGGAATAGAATAGGCAAGGAATAGAATAGGATTTGTATTCTATTGTTTGGTTCGCGGAAGGAATAGACTTTAGGAATTATATTACAGTGTTTGGTTGATTTAAGGAATAGAAATGAAATATGTTTTAAAAGACATAAATACCCTTATAAAAATATGTGATGGTGGTGGTGGCGGCGGCGCGGCGATGGTGGTGATGGTGGTGGTGGCGACGGCGGTGATGGTGGTGGTGGTGGCGGCGGCGGTGATGGTGGTGGTGGCAGTGGTGGGGGCGACGGTGGTGGTGTTGACAGTGACGGTTGTGGCAGTGGTGGTGGGGGCAGCGACGGTTGTGGCGGTGGTGGTGCTGTGTGGTGGTTCTGGTGGCGGTGGCGGGGATGATGGTGGTGGCGATGGCGGTGGTGGTGATGGTGGCGGTGGCGGTGGTGGTAGTGGTGGTGGCGACGGTGGCAGTGGTGGGGCGGCGGCGGTGGTGGGGCCAGTGACGGTTGTGGCGATGGTGGTGGTGGTGGTGGCGGCGGCGGTGATGGTGGTGGTGGCTGCGGCGGCGGTGATGGTGGTGGTGGCGGCGGCGACGATGGTGGTGGTGGCGGCAGCGATGGTGGTGGCGGCGACGACGGTGGTGAAATAGGATAAATTTATATATATGATAAAAAAAATTAGGTTAAAGAAAGGGGTAAAAAAGGAAATAGATTCTAAAATCTATTCCTGAGCGTTCAGTAATAGGCTAATACCAGGGGGGGCCCTAGTAATAGCTATTACCTTATTTTAGGTAATAGGCTATTACCAGGAATATTATTCCTGGTAATAGAAATGGTTACCAAACAACGGAATAGGCCTATTACTGGGAATGCTATGCCATTCCCGGCCTATTCCGTGAACCAAACGGGCCATAAGTTTTGAGTTTCTGAACATACTAGTTTGTGAATATTAAGTTTTGATTTTCTAAACATATATAAGTCATGCTACAAATATGTAACAGGATGAATATTGTAGTGTCTAATTTATGAACATTAACCTTTGAGTTTCTGAACATATAGATGAAACAGAAAAAAAAATGACAAAATTGATGCCATTTTGGATCATGATCCACGATATAATTTGCGAAGTAATTCCTTGTGGGCATCAGACATTTGTTTTTCTACTTAATGGGTCGTTGAGTCATTGTGATTTAACATTTTAACTTATCCATAATCTTATAGGATTGAGGGGATATGGGCACAAATTATGCTGTGTAACCGTGTATGGTGCACACGGTTGCAAAAACGACGTCGTTTTGACTAAAAACGCGCGTCCACTTAAAAAAAAAAAAAAAAAAAAAACAGGTTCGATTCCCGGCAATAGCATTTTTTTGTGCATAATTTGAATACTGTAGTGTTTAATTTATGAACATGAACCTTTGAGTTTCTGAACATATAGGTGAAACAGAAAAAAAAAAAAATGTTGACAAAATTAATGTCGTTTTAGATTATGATCCACGATATAATTTGCTAAGTAGCTCTTTGTGGGCATCAAACACTTGCCCTTCCACTTAAGGGGCCGTTGAATCATTGTGATTTAACTCATCTACAATCCTATAAGACCGAGGGGGTATGGGAATACATCATCAATCAATAAACAAAAGCACCCATATTTAATGCTTCCTAACAAGTGTCCTGAACATTACACAAAATTTTAATGTTAATAAATGTTGTTTCCATATTTTTGTTCAATAACCTAATTGCACAAACAGCAAAATTCACACTAAAATCTAAGTTGTTCAAATTGTCCCCTACTTTCTGTTGATTCCAACAAATTGATGAAATTAAATTTCTAAATCAAAGTAATAAATCACAATTTATGAATTTGAATTTGATAAATTTAATTTGAAATGTAATGAATTAGATGAAACAAACTGATAAATTTGTTATTATCAGACTAGAAATTATTGGGTGCTGTTACAAAGTTACACAAAGGGGGATAGGATACAAACAGGAAATTATTGCCTTTGAATACAAGAGACTGTGTTTCTGTTTGTTCCTCAAACAATAGAATTACAGGGAAGAAGAAATAAAAATGATATTTCACAAAAATTAGTGGGGAACAAGAATATGAAGAAGAAGAATTTGCAACCTCACCTAAACACTGGAAAAGGAAAATGAAAACCAACAAATTACAAGCTATAACTGTGCTTCCATGGCTGATGATTAATGTTTTTGTCTTCGGGTTTCATGGTCTCTGATGAACATATTTCGTTCTGGGATCCACGATGAGTCCCTTTCCACCGTTCACTTCTAAATCGTGCCTGCAACGAGGGCTCCACGATAAGAAACTATTGAAGGGATGTATTCCGTCTGTATGCCCCCTCACATGTGTGGGCCCGAATACATAGTTCAAACCCATAACCTTTCGCCTCAATTGTTATATCATGGACCATGGTCCACTATGTACATTGTGGACCCTATCCAGATTATGTACATGCAATTAACATATTATATATCTTATAGTTAACAGAGTATGTAGTATGTACACTGTCACGGTTAACATATTATGTACTTACAGTTTATCTATAGGTACATAATCTGTTAACTGCAAGTACATAATCTGGACTAGGTCCACACTGCGCATGGTGGACCTTGGCCTACAATATAATTTGCGCTTTTGCCTAGGTCTGGCTTTGATACCAAAATAAAGGGATGTGTTATGTCTCGACTAAAAGCCTAAGTTGATGGTGAGACTACACATTATTTTTATATATTATGTTCAAGAAAAGCACAACGTGATTCACACCATTTATGGAGACCATTCAGCATCTATGCCCTGCAAGTGCCAGATTTTACCTAGAGTAGACAAAGGAGTTGACTGTTCGGGAGTAATGAACACTTACTGAAACACAAAATCCGGGATTGTAAGCTGTTCGCGGGGAACGTATCTGAATAGTTGGAGAAGGCGATCAACGTATACAACTTTTTTCCATGCCTGGGAATCAATAACATGCATGCGCTAAGATTCAGCAGAGAAGGAAAATGGTCAAGATTCTAAATTAGGAAAGACGTATTTGTTTCATGGTATTTTTTCAGGACAGGCCGACGAGAATTCAAGATACCTCGTTATCAACAAGAAGTTGCAATGCAAAAATTGCGGCTTTTAGTCCAAAAGTTGGGTGAAGGACATATATTGCCTGAATAGGAAAAAATATACTATGTTAAAATGCAATTATAGCTTTCAGAATGCCGAAAAAGGGAACCAAAAATGCGGTAGAATTGCATACATGAAGGTTGCGTTGGTGCTTCCGGCCAAGAATTTGTTGTAATCTCTTCATCCATCCCAAATCCGGTTGCCTGATTATTATAAAACACAAGAAATGACAAAAGAATACATATACATTGAATAAGCACTCCTTCAGCAAACCAAATGCATTTTTTTACGAAAATTAGAGTTTAAGTTCACTACAATCTATCCTAGACTGGTGAATCAAGGAGAATAGAAAATGTAATGAAGCCTCAAAGCACGTCTTTTAACAGTAGGATGCTTCAAATGGTTGTTCAATTGGACAAAGAGATACTTCACTAAAGTAGAAAAAGCTTCATTGATAGGGTGAAATGGAAAGCATCCACATAGACAAATCCGTTAAATTGCGATTAAAGATTGGCAAATCTGAGCTAATCAATCACATATGATAAAGAGATACAACAAAGGGGACAAGAGAGCACTTACATCTGTAAAGAAGCTGCAGAATGAAAGTAAACAATAGTATAAGGCTTCTGTATCAATGGCTCAAACTCCTGAAATGCAAATACTGTTAGCTGTTATGATTGAAAATGATGCAATCTCGGCATTGATAGATAGTATGGAATCATTGGTAGTAAAGATGACCAGATAGATAGCCGAAATTACTTGCCTTTACAACATGAAGAATAAACCTCTCCAGATCAAGACATCTGAGCAGAAAATGAGCCCCCACAATCACTAAAACTGGGCGGCCCTCACTGTCTACCCCACCTCGGTAACTGCAACACAAGAGGTAAGAATGGGATTTGTAAAGAAAAAGTCATGCAACCTAATCACAGAAATCATTGATACTTTTAGTGTAGAGAAAGGAGGGGCGATGCATCTAAAGAAATAGTTGCATACATAATCTTCATCTCTGCTATGTCTGACAGATTCACAGAATTCGCTTTAGCGAGATATCTGGAATGAAGTGAGTATTCTTCAGCAGCTGACAGAGGAGGCCCACCAAGTTCACCATATCCAAGCATTTTAAAGCAGTTCCATCGGTTTTGTTCTTCAATAGTTCTTTCCCACTGTTCCTTCCTTCGCTGATCAGGATCCTTGATAAGGGACATAAACGTAGGATCCAAATATGAATCCAAATAGGATGAATTCCTGCTCAAAAATAGTTTTGTTAAGGGTCATTTGGCATAACATTGGTGATATAGAATTCATACAGTTTCTTTTACATGTTGAGAAATCATACAATTGTTACCACCAATAAGGTCAAGAAATTATAAATGCTATACAAAACAAATAGCAGAA